TGTAAACAGGATGTGGTATGACCAAAGTAAATTGATTTTAAGAAGCCCCAAGGAGTGACAGAAAACAAAAGCAACAGAAAAATCACAGCAGAATACATGAAGAGGAATAGAAGACATTTACCTCGTCTGTGCACTGTCATCATTCTCCATGAGGGTCGGATGAGGCCTGAAGACTAATTCGATTTCACTAGCACCATCCATTACAGGGTCTATTGCCACAGCTGTGTTGTTATTGTCCAGTTCTAGCCCAGAATCATCTGATGTTTTGGTCCTCTTATTACTAGGCCCTGCTTCCTGATTGCTGTGTGTTGAGGCATTGCTACAGTGTGAACTGTCACCGTTATCTTCTGCTCCACTGCCATTCTCAATCTGTTGTTTCTTGCCCCTCTGTAACCTGACCAGAAATAAGGAGAAATGAACGTGGATTAGCATTCAGAATTCACCCAATGTACAGGGCCACACTGCTTGTACAACTCCTCCCTCTCCCAGTCTGTCATGCCAGAAGTTAGAAACGTGCATGCACAAACACTAAACGTTTCAGAGATATTTAAAGTTGAAAAAAAAATTTAAAAATTCACCCTTTCTTATAAAAAGATACTCATAGACAAGATGACAGATTTTTTACTATCCCTCGAAGACCTTTTAGAGATATTTTAAGATAATTTTTAACTTCATACAGTTATTTTTATTTTTCAGGCAATTTCAGACCATTATTTTCATCTACATATGAATCCACACGTGATTAAAAATATAAATCACACCACGCCTCACCACAACAAAGTCTGAGGCCTCTTTCCCAATTGACTCTCTTAGGTTTAAATGCACACGCAGAATTTCAGTACTGTACAAATATATATTCCAGCCTTGTGAATTAAGTCACAACTAAAACCTAAATTCTGGTATTATGTGCATTTATTTGCATGTAATGGTAATATGTTGGTACAGGACTCGTGGTATTACCAGTTTATTATCAAAGACATGATAGCCACAATCAGGTAAAGCTAAGCTGAAATCTGGTGTCTACAACAGGCTGCCACAGAAGTTGCAAGGGGTGATACAACGGTTTCCATTAGCAGAAAATAAAGGTTAAAAATTATTTTGGCAGACTTCAGAGGAGTGCAGAGGAATCTCAAACTATACAGGGAGAGAGGACAGATGGTATATTTTTAGTCTTAAGGCAAACAAGGTTACATGTAGACAAATTACATGGATTACATACCTGTTCATAGCCTGAATCTTTAATCCTTCCTCAATGCTGTGACTTAAAGCTTGCTGGTTATTGTGCTTGCTGATTCTTGCTAGCACTCTCTCCTGATGAGCTTCATATTCATCTCGGCTTGGATAAATTTTACTGATAAGAGCATCAAAATTGGGATCTGGTCTCAGTGATCTTTTTGAAACTAGCTTTTTACGACACGTGGGGCATTCTTTGTTGCTGGACATGAACAAGAAGGAAGAAAACAATACTAATTCCCCAGCAATAACAAAAGCCTGCCAAAATGTCACAATTCTTTGTCAAAGTGCTCATTAAGACTCAATATTTATAGTAAATCTGGAATGGGGCTTTTATCTTTTGACAGATCAGGTAGTTCCAGATATTTAAACAAAAACCCCAAACATATATCTCCCTGCTTACTAGTTTTTGTAAGTAATGTAGTATATTTTTGTTTTGCTGTTGCTGGATCTAAAAGAAAAATAACAAGAAAAAAGAGAAAAGGGGTTTTCAAATCCTTACAAAAAAATGAAGTTATGGGATGATCTGTCACACAAGGAAAAAGGCCAGGTCTGTTCTGCCACAGATGGCTGAACACAAAAGAATGAAATATGAAACCTGTGCTCCACATTCAGAAACTTGCAGTGCACAGGCACGTAACTGTTCCACATCAACACCCAGGACTTAAAGGATTTCCTTGATCACATTTTCATCTGAAGCAAAATCCCTTTTCCCTATAATAATATTTACATACCCACTCCTGAGGGCTGTAATGATACAGTCAGCACAGAAGCGATGCAAACATTCTTTTGTTGTCATGGTGTTTTTTAACATATCCAAACAGATGGGACACATCAGTTCACTGTGCAGGCTCCTCGGTGACACCACTATTTCCAAGCCATCAGTGATTGCCTCCTAGCATAAAATAAAATAAAAGTTCTTTAACGGAATTTAGTAACTTCCTCACAGAGATTGCATGTTTTACTATTCTTTTAAAGAGAAGCACAGTAAAAAGACAAAACAAGGCACATACACAACCACATCAACCACACACGCCCATGCTGCTAAAGAAAGGAAAAAAAGAAATAAAGATCAAACACCTTTTTTTAATGTTATGAGAAAGGTTTTGTTTTGTGAGGATTTTTAAAAAAATACTCTATCACTTGG